AACAATCTTTCGAACATCAATGTATTGTAATCATGATTATTGTAACAGTGAAAGTGAAAAGACTTTATATTACTCTTTAGATATATTAGAATTCTTCATTAAGCTCCTCATAAAAGTTCATTTCCGTCGAAATTAAGATAAATGCATAGTAGAATAGTCTGAAGTTGGATACTTCACAAACAATATGATCTTTTAATGGGTATGTCTGTTTGTTTCAAAAATTTTCAGAGATTTTCATCACCCTTCTATGCTTCTTTCAGAAAAGAAAAACAGGAAATCCTTTTTTGCTTTTTCTCTGTTTATGCTTTTCTAATCGCGCATCCTAGAGTTTTTGAAAGAGCACGTGGAACTGCAGTACCCACTGTTGGAATTAAGCTTTCTTATTATCACATACAAAACAAGCACTTTTTATAAATAGATGATCATTTTCTCCACTTAAAAAGTAAGAATAAATATATAGAATGAAAGCCCACAGAAAAATTTCGGATTGATAAATAAGCTATTTTTGACCATTGCTTGTTGAATATATCTCGAAGATCGATTTTAGAGGAGAGATCTTAGAAATGTATTTATTATTTATTAAGAATATCATATTATCTTACACGAAGTGGTTCGGGTGTTGATGTATATTGTAATTCTTCGATATTCATTATCGATAAATCAGTCAAGAAACGTTCAAGTTCACTTAGAGATCGACTAGCTTTATCATTCGATAAATGAATTGACTGCATTGCTAACATATCTTTACCACGTATACACCAATCATTTATCTAAAATAAATATTATACAATATTTAAACCAACAACAACAACAAAAAAAAACGCCGAAATTTTCTTACAGATCCAAGTTTATCAATATATATTTTTAATAATTTTAAATTATGTCGTTTTTCATCAATTTGTTCAATTAATTTTTTTTTCATTTCTTCTAATTCTTGACATTTCGGTTCAATGGAATCATTACCATAGGATATTGTTTGTTGTTTCTGTTGTTCCATAATCAAAGCAAGGCCATCATTTGTCAATTGAGTAGCATGACTGATCATCATCTAGATATTTTATATATAAATAGCTCATATATATATGCTAAAATAATACCAATTGATATTATTACTTGTGCTCGTTGTGAAAGGGCATCAAGTTGAATTAATGTTTGATCAATTTCTTCTTTACGATTATTATTTTTATTATCAGATTGACAATAATCAAATAGAAGTAAACTTGTATCTAGGTCAGACAACTCATTGACTTCATTGTATAATTGTATAAAAATAGTTTGTATCTCTTTAAAACGTTGTTCAAAATGACGTAATGCAAGACAATGATTTAAACGTATATTATGTATAGACCAAAATTGTGAAAGAATAGATTCGATACGATCAATATGTATCAAAGCACTAGAAATAAAATTGTTTTATCCATAAAAGAAAAAAAAAACCCTATTGACATATACTTACGTTATACAAGCACGAGCATGTGCTGATTGATCTGATGATAGAACAAGATGTTGTATATCATTATTCTTGTCAATTGTATTATTATGAGATGTTGAAGACTGTTTATGCTCTTGGTGAATAATACATAATAGTGAATGACCCCACCTAGAATGTATGTAGAAGGACAGAATGAAACAAAAGTATGTAGAGAGTCAATACAATTGCTGTATAGAGAAATGATGATGATCAGCATCGAGATACAGTCATTTTGTACGTGGATAAAGAAGGAAAAAAAAAAGGGGACACAAAGAGAACATTGCTGAGCAATATATAATACGTGCACTTTTTCTTTTTCTTTTGATCTCTCTTTCTCATTGTTTGCATATACATATATATATACATTGAAGTTTACGATAAATACTTCAAATGTCTCTATAGTAATAAGTTTATATCATGAATATATTCAAAATAATAAAAAGAAAAATAAATTTATTCATTACGTTTTAATACGTTGTAATTCTTGATCGAATTCAATTTTTTGTTTTAAATGTTGATTAAGTATTTTTTGTATTGATTCAACAGTATTAGGAAATTCAATTTCATAACATTCTTTTATAAATACAAGTAATATTTCATTTAATTCATGTATTGATTGAGTTAATTTTTCAATAGTCTTATATAAAAAAAAAAAACAATCCAAAGAGTATTAGTTATTTTAATGAACATTTAATTACCACTCTTTGTTCAATCCATTCAAATAAACGAAAATTAATTAAACCACCTAAATCTTTTGATAATTGACTTACATCTAAATAGTCATGAAGTTCAGATAATGTTCGACAAATAATTAACTAAATTAAAAATAAAAATAAAATAAAATAAAATAAATCTTATTAAACATACACGATATGAACAAGTTATATCATTTAAAATTGTTAAATGAGATAAAGCTCGTTGCATCCATGAATTTGGTTGAAGGAGATATATACATTGAATTGAATATGGAAAATAATCCTATAGAAGACGAAAAAAAAACGAAATATTATTTTTCTTTAGATTCCATATTCGAATATTTTACAACACTCAAACAAAAATATTTCTTTTTATCACGTAATTTATTGAACTAGATGAACAATTATTTCTATGGATTCTGTTATACTTTAATTACATTTTAGATGATTACCTAATATGTATTACAAATGTTAAACCTAGTTCATAATACGTATTGTTTTTCTTTCTTTTTTTTTTTTCTGGTATTCATAAAATACTAAAAACATCGACAGATAAGAAGGACATATAGTGAAGATCGATCATTAGTTGTTTCGATCTTTGAAAAATAAAAAGAATAAATCTCATATCAATGCATCCTTTTATTATTTAAAAATAATAACGATTTCCATATGGTATATTAATCAAATATCTTTGTACCTCTATATAACTAATAATAGATTTAACAGCATTCCATGTATTCAATCGTCGATCAATAATAATAACAAAACCATATTGACGTTCGTTTTCGCTATAATATAAACGATAGAATACATTGTATATTTAAGTCTTATTTATTACCTTGGTACTTGTGTTAAATAAGAAATAAGTTTTTTATATTTTTCTTGTGTTAATTCAATTTGAGAATTATCAGGAAATGTAAGAATTGGACAATTATGACTTGTACTACCCGTTATGAATGCAAGTCTTTCTTGCAATAAATCAGTTGTTGATAAAACACTAAGTGAAGTTTCTTCAAAGATATGTTCTTAACAAAAAAAAAAGAAAAGAATAAATAAAACTAATTTAATTAAAAAAAAGAAAACTAAGACGTAAAACATACGTAAAGTCAGATAAAATTCTTGAAATTCATCTTGCTTGTATAAACCCATCCTAGTTAATAAAATCAATTTTTTCTATTCATTAAAGAAAGCCTAACTCTATACAAGAAAGATATTTATTCAGGAAAACAAATAACATATATATATAAATATGTGAGTATTAATTCATTACTTTCATGTGATGTGTTATGCACGCAATGTGTGATGAAAAATGCGTGCTGACTAATGTTTTACAAAGATGACATATGAATATTTATAAATGAAATATTCTCATGAACTTTCTAATATCATATTTCGATATATTACATTGATTTTATTCCATAATTATTTTTTTAAATAGTTGATAATTAATGAATATCTTTTTTTTTTCTATGATAAAAATTAATTAAATAAACATTTTGATTCAATTTTTATTATTATTAGATTCTCTCATTTTTTAATTGAGACATAGCATTCACGTTTTGTTATGTTGGAATAAACTAATATCTTAGATAAATACAGCTGGTAATCTAGAATATGTCATGCAAAGAAAATAAAAAGAAAAAGAAGACATAATATGAGTCTTATTAGAATAGATTGATGTAGTATGAAAGAAAACATAGTCAAATATGGCTTTAGAAGACTGTAGTTATAATCTTGTCTTGAAAGATCAATTCAATTAACTATTATACCAAGTCTGAAGACTTTTAATAAGAGCCATAGGGCAATAGAATAATTCTATGAATGTTTATAGCATCGAAAGAAAATAATAGAAAACTAATTGAAAAGAAAGAGATTCTATTGGACATAGTCTTTTTTAATTTTATTAGTTTTGAAAATTAATTAGATTTATTATTTCTATTTTGAATTTCGAATGGTAAATTGTTCATCATTTATTTTGAATTTAAATTGTTGGGAATGATGTTTTTTCGTTTACATTTAAATATTATGAAAAATATTTTGTTATGAATAAATCGGTTTTTTCTAATGATGTGAATGTTATATTAAGTATTTCATCTAAATGTTGATCACGTATTTATTATGGTATCAATGTAAAAAAATTACTAATGTTTCATGAGTCGGAGGTGTCATGTGATGCAATGAGAATGAGGTAAATATTCTTCTCTTTTTTATGTTCTATCAAATAAAAGGTTAAATATAATCATAATAACAAGAAGAACAGATGAGAATAATGATGGTCTACTTACACAATTATCTGATGAGCAAAATATTAATTTTTAATTTTTTTTTTGTTGTTGTTTTATCAATATGTATTACGAATGAATGAATGAATGAATAGAATTTAAGATCAAATAGTTTTTCAAGATGTTTTAAGTTGTTGTTTCTAAATAAATCTATTGATAAAATTATGAGATTGATATACGACCAGATATACTTGTCTTTGATAGATCAAAGTGTGATAATTGATCAGTTAATATTTGTTTTTGATTATGCTAAAAAAAAAAATTTGTTTTCAGTAAAAGTAGATTCATCATGTTTCCTATTGAAATTTCATACAAATTTAATTACATTAAAAGTTTGATTAGAATTATCGTTTTGTAATTGAATTGAAAAAAAAATCTACGTTATAATAGAAAAAAAAGAACATGTTTATTTGTTCATGAGAATTTCTATATCAAAATTAATTTTAAAAGAAGGTCATTGAAGATATTTTATATGTATCAAATATTTATGATCAAAATAAAAGTCATTTGATATATTAATATAAAATATCGTTTGAATAATTTTTTTTTTGTATGTTAACCTTACATTACAAATATTAATTTTAAATTAAGATTTCATCTATCTCTCAATATTCAACATTGATATATATATAGAATATTTCGATCTATACTTGTTAACATTAGATAAGAATGAAATCAACAATTATCATTTTTATTTTGACTAGATTATTAATCTTCACTACACAAGCATTGAGTAAGTTTCAATATAAAATAAGAAAAATTTCTATGCGTACGTATAATTTCAGATTGTAATGATAATCCTTGTAAATTGGGTGGCTATTTTACGCAAAATAGAGGATATCAATGTTTGCAGGCGAATACAACAGTATTTTGTACATGTCCAAATGGTGAATTGGAAATTGATCGACCATGTCGTAAGAAGACAAAAAAAAAATTACTATTCAAAAAGAATTCTTATTTTTATATGATTAGGTGTATGCAATCGAACAAATCCTGCAAATAATCCATGTATTGCTTCTTCAACTCTTCTTGCTTGTCTCGAAACAGATGATTATGGTACAACATTTGCATGTTTATGCATGGGTCCATCAGGACCTGAATTAACAACATCGGCTAATTGCGGTGAATAAAATTAAAAGAAAAAACAACGTCAAAAGATAATTTCTTTTATTGTAATAGATTTATCAGTTACATTAACAAGTACTGCGATAACAAAATCTACTAGCACTACTGTTGTTGCATCTGTTACATTTCCAGCCTGTTTCAATGGAGGTTATTTTGTTGATAATGATTGCCATTGTCCTAGTGGCTTTGGTGGAATATTTTGTGAACAAAATTTCGGTAAAATTATTTTTTCTTTTTAATATTCATTGTTATGTTTTGTTTTTATTTTCATTTGTTAAGAATACCAATTATGTGAAAGAATTGTTTGTAAAAATAGAGGAGTTTGTGCTATTCGAAATTCAAATGGACCATATCATTCTGTTTGTCTTTGTCGATATGGTACTTCTGGTGATTATTGTCAATTAAATGGTAAGAAATTTAAACTTTCATGAAATTTTTCCATTTTTCAAAAAAAAAAAAACATTAGGAACATTGGGTTTTTGTACACCTAATTTATGTATGAACAATGCTCCTTGTCGAGAAATTCTTATTGGTTCAACACGCCGTGCATATTGTGATTGTCTACCGGGTTATAATGGAACCGGATGCGAGAATCGTATGTATTTAATTCTAATTATCTTATGTGATTATTTCGTTTTCTAATAGAATATTTTAAATGTACCTTCAATGGAAAATTTCTTGATAGTTTTATGAATGATCAAGGCAAATATTTTGAATGTACACAATTAAATGGATGTAAGTTTAAATAAAAAACATTTTTTAAAGATTATCTATGATTTTATTTTTATTAATAGCCTATAAATTGGAAAGAAAATCATGTCCAAAAGGACTTCGTTTTAATATAGATAAGACTACTTGTACACTTTGGTGAATTAACAATTGAACATTGCTTACTTTTCTAATTTATAATTTTGCTAGTTTTTAAATAAAACAAATTGATCTGTTTATTTTACATGTAAGTATTGATATGCTTAGGTCATATCACAATTATTGAAGTATGATCAATTTGTAAACTGTTTCAAATGTCAGTATAAGTTAGAGACATGCAGAGTTACCGTTATCTAACCTGGAGGGTAGGATAAAAGTTAGAATATTTCTCTCAGTCATGGTACAGGGTACGGAAAAAGCTTACTCATTGCTGTAGAGAAATGATTAAAGCATTCTATATTATAATTATTACTAGTGATTATGAAATTAAAATTTCTTTAAACAGAGATATTTTACAAACAAATAATCTCAGGATGCTTGAGGTTCAGAGTCGCAGCATGATTCCACAATATTAATTTTTTACTACTTGTACAAGTAGCTATCATCAAATGAACTGATTGACGGATCCTCAATGAGAAGTCAAATATTTCTTGTTGACTTTAAAAAAACATGACTATCGATCAATTATTAGTTTATATCCGAAAACTGCGCAAACTCAAATATTAATCGAAGTAATATGTTTGTCACATGCAACTTATAATCATTACTCCCATTGTTCGACTCTCCTCTACTCTTGTTTCAACATTGAAAGTGTCTGATTCGATTCAATTGAATAGATCAACTTTAACATTTTAATCAGCAGTTCATTGTAGAGCAGGTGAATTCATCGGAAAAGTTGGTACACTCTTTTGTCTTCCGTCTTCATATACCCGCACGCACATACACAGATGTCACCCACATCCGAAATAGTTACAAAAATTTTAATTTTAAATGTTTATATCATTAACGAATCAATTTTTGTAATCTTTTTTTTATTCGTACTAAAATAGCTGAAAAATGAATTCATGTATTTATTCAACAAGATTTCAATGATCTACCAACGTATATGACTGAAACTCATCTTTCACTTTCACGTTATCCATCATTAAATGATTATCTAAAGAATTTTTTTACCTATTCGTGATTAGAGTCCTGCACGGAGTCGTTTTCGGAGTCGTCATCGGAGTCAATTAAATTTTTTGCCAAAAATTTAATTTTAGCATAAAAAATTTTTTGTTTCGCAGGTTTTGTTCTCTGATATTTAATGTATAAACTGACGAATTTTGGAGATTTCAACGGCATCTTATCAAGGTCTACGAACATGAAAGAAAGTCGGAGTCAGATTTGACTCCGATTTTTTTCGACTCCGACTTTCTTTCATGTTCATAGACCTTGATAAGATGCCGTTGAAATCTCCAAAATTCGTCAGTTTATACATTAAATATCAGAGAACAAAACCTGCAAATCAAAAAAGTTCTTATGCTAAAACTAAATTTTTGGCAAAAAATTTAATTGACTCTGATGACGACTCCGAAAACGACTCGGCGCAGCACTCTATTCGTGATACATATATATGCTAGTATTGAAGCTGGTTTTCTTTAACTGTTAGTTAGTCAAATGCGAATCATTCCGAGTTTACTAACATGTCCATATTTTTATGATATTGATGTTGATACAATAATTCGAGAAATTCATGGACTTATCTAATAATTATTCAAATGTGATTGTTTGTTTTCTTTGTTTTACATTATGATAGAAATTTATTAGATTTCAAGTTCAATAAATAAAAAAGTGATGGTTAAAATTTTGTTTTTGGATAATTCTTTTTAATTAGAAAACAAATAGATCAATAATTTAGTTTTAAAATATAGTCGAGAGATTGATCTAAATTAACTGAAACATTTATTTTATCTTTGAAAAACATCGAGTTTGCGATATTTGTTCTTACGAAATTTAAAGAACCCATAGGTTCTCGTTATTCAATAAAGTAAATTTTGTTTTCTCAAGATTTTTCTGTGGAGAAGAAAGTAGAAATGAAATTTTTTCCTAAATGATGATCGCCAATGAAATAGATTTTATATAAACATTAAAAAAAAAGTGGTTTACAAGAATCAACGGCTAAAAAAGATGCAACTGATACAATAAAAACACAAGCTAATGAATAATTTAAAAGTAAAAATATCTTGTCTTGATTTTAACATTCGTATAAAATAATGTGTACAGTCATATAGTTATTATGAGAGAGTAATTGAAATTGATCCAGATGCTATTTTATATTCATATATCAAAATTTTGCATATCTTTGTCGTGAATGGTTTCGTTTCATGCACTTATAGATTATAAGCGAGCATTAGAATGTGATTCAAAATATATTGAAGTATTCCTCTCGTTTATATGTACCCAATATATATTGTTATTCGTTAAGGCATTGTATTGACGAGCATCTGCTTATTCAACATCAGGAAACTATTGTCCAACATTATCTGATTATGGATATGTTTGTTGAATCAATTTTTTGTTTTTCGAAATGTGACTTTTTTTGTTCGAAGTTAAATAGATCTAGGCATTTAATAAATGCTCAGACTCAGATAAAAACTTTTATATGTTACATGAAGATCGAACAGCAAGATATTGACTAAAGATCTTCAATACAGATATCCAGAATACAATTATTTGTATCAAATATTACGGAAAAAATCATGAAAGACAAAATATTAGACAAAAAAAATTGTTGACGGACAACAGAGTGCTCTTGTACATAATTTTTCACGATCTATTCGCATTTTTGTACCTCGTATCTTTCCAAAAATCTTGCTTACAAGATATTCCACTTCTGTAATACGACCATATACAGCTGTGTACGAGAATCATAATCTTCCTCCAGAGCTATAACTATTCATCCCTCGATTTCTTTGTTCACTCTTAGCGTAGTTGTTAGCGTCAACAGATGACACTATGTCAACGCTAACTTTATGGAACGAAGTTCAATTGGTTTCTTTTTATTTTCTCATTTGTCGGCATCTTCCTTTTCGTTCTGTAGTTAATTGGATTTTTCTCTTTCGTTCGTTTAATAGTAAGATTTCTCTTTTTCGTTCTGTCTATCTCTCTCTTTAGAATTTTTTCTGATTTTGATATCGTTCAGTTGCTATTTTGTTTCGATGCAGAGCAGTAGCATTTATTACTACCTCTCCTGTGTGTGTTATTTTGTCTTCATGAAATAAATTATCCAATTGAACTGATCTCACATCCCCTCCTTAGCTGATCACGTTACCTTTGGCCATCAAGGTAAGACCTCATTATATTCTATTATAACATCATCTCAAACGTTGTCCTAACAGTAGTTTAATCGCTCTTTTATTCTATCTTTGTACATTACGAAATGAAATGACATCGCTATGATGATATTCAGTCGTTTCTAGGCACATGTGTTCGTTTATACACAATTGAATGAATAAAATATACTTGTCGATGATGTCTGATTTGATATAGAGCGATGAAAAGAGAGAGATATAATGGCTATATAAATCGATATATACTAGACAAATTTCCATTTCTTTTAACATCACTAGTACGTTTTTTTTCTTAAAGATGGCACAGCAAACAACAATTCAAAAGATGATAAAGAATTTGGTGGTTTTAAACGTATCAATAATGATACCCGTAATTTTGTAAGTAAATTTTATTGAGGTACTTTAGCATTTATAGACAAGAAATTATTTTTTTGTAAATATTTTAGAGACAAAATATAAATTTCATTTATGCGCCAATTCAACAACTACCAGCGCCAGTACAGCATCAACAGCTACCACCACCAGTACAACATCAGCAACAAATTCAACAAGGTGAGATAATTAGTACCATTACACAAAAATAAAGGAAAGAAATTTCATTACTTACATAAGAATATTGTATTTTCATATATTTCAACAGGTGATAATATATTTACAAACATAAGATTCGCATGGATTCTGTTATGCATTATACTAATGGCTTATGTTTTTAAAGTGGAATATCAATTATTATTGCTTATAGTAATATTTTACATGTCAATATTTCTTCTACTTGATAAAATATGGTGCAACAACATAATTTTCACATGTCGTCAATTGTTCTCACGTATTAATAAAGATGATTTACAATTATGGTTATCAATCGCGACGTTCGTTATGATGGTCATTCTCATTTTTTTAACTGTCATTCTGATTTTAAAAATATGAAAATTATGTATGTTCTGTTCATTATGTCGTCATGGTATCTTACAAAAAAAACTGATCTTTTTTTTTAAATTCAAATGTAATTCTTTTTTCATTATGAATATGTGATGATGTTATACTAAAGTTTTGTCCTGATGAATTATCTGATGATGTAAAAATAATTTTTTTTTCTAATACATGAAGCATAAATCTACATTTATCTTACCTTTGATCATAAATATAAAAATGAAGATCAAATTTCATGCTGAGTATATGAACATTCAATAAATAAATAAATTTTTCATTATATCATTAATATACTTTTCAGACTTCATAAAGCCATTATCAATATTTTAAAATATTTTCCTGTTTGCCTATCGTACTTCAAAATCATTGAACAAATTAATAAAAACTTATCATAGGACTTGATACATAGCCATAGTCACGATGATGAATCGGTGAGATCCGAAAGCTACATTGATTATATAATAAAATATTTATTTATTAATAGAATGCTCATATGTTTCACATAAACAACAAAATGAAATATAATTTTTATTTTTTAAGTAGCGGACAAAATTTTAAGGACTGATTCGTATTTCATCGATTTTTGCGTTATCAAAGAGCAGAAAAGTTTTAAAAACTATAGCATTAGATGCTAAATTCAATGGGCTATATTTTATTATAAATATTGGGTTGGCAAGAAAGTTTTGCGTCTTTTTTTATTATTTTACCCATAAAAAAAGACGCAAAACTTTCTTGCCAACCCAATAGCTTGCACCATAATGTCGTTGGTTAAACCAGCATAATTTGGTGCAGGTAAGATATCAAAATCAAGTTCTCCAATTTTAAACTGAATACTATATTGTATGATTTTTGTTTCGCCAACAAGATGATTCAAATATAATTTTAAGATATCATCCCATTCGTCAAGAAGTTTTTCGAATGGGGGATCAACTTCATTAACATAAATTACACAATCATAGTCATATTTTAATGAAATCGATGTCTTCTTACCAACACCACCTACTAATCGACAACGACTCAATTTATAACGTGATCGTTCTTGTAACGTTAAAAACACCTTTTGCATTTTTTCATCACTTATTTTCTATATATATCGTCTGGAATTGTCAGTTTATGTGATATATAAGTAAGCATAACAATGTAATTGTTGAGCCATCATATTTGTTTGTAATGAAAATTCGAAATTTAAAATACGTTGTAGAATACGATATATAATGAATTATTAATGACGATCCATATATATAAATGATGAAAGAAAAACTACTGGGTTTTTTCCCAGTATATCCATGCTCTTATTCTATTATATTGTACTACTTAACACTTCTAAAAAATAGAGAGTCTATTATCATTATTCTTTATCTTAACATTGATACGAGAAAGAATAGTTTATCAGATACACATGTCACTACTATAATATTCTCCTGAAAATGATGCATTGTTTGATAAGAAGAATTATATTGAAGTTTTGTGCAATATTCGATAGGAATAAATAATTACCCGGAATTAGTGTTAACGATTATTTAATAAGCAGAAAGTGCATTTAACGTCTTGTTTTTTTTTTATTTCAAATCTATCCGACTTACTTTTATTGTCTTCATTTTGTATGTTGAATACAAGTCTGAGCTTGTTTCTGATGAAAATGTTGAATTTTGAGAATGAAATGACAAACTAACTCAATATTTGCATTAGAAATGATAAAACATTAGTAAAAATATCGCTTTCTGAGGTTTTCTACCGGAATAACTTTGTCTTGTTCACACTGATCAACTTCAATAATATTCATACTGCTTAGTGCCATTGACACTTCACTCAGTTGTATATGTAAAGTTGAACAGTCTCATCGAACTGAAGAATTGCTTTGTTTTTTTTTCTATTGTCTAAATAAAACTTATAAAACTCTTACACAGTAAAATTTGCTGGTTATCATGGGTTGCAAGTTGTATGAATCTTTATGCAGAAAAAAAGATTAAAATTCGGATCGGACGGCTTGACAAAAATCTAAGACCACCGATACTCTCTAATGACTGCTGTCTAATTTAAAAGAAAAATTTCTTTGAATCACGTTGAGCGATCCTTTTCGAGATCTCTTACAGAGTCACTTTTGGGGTGTGGGTGTGTGCGAATAGGCAACGTCAACACCCATATTCACACTCACCCATATCCAAGAAAGAGAACGCAAATGAAGTGAATTGGTTCTAGACAAAAGAGCTAGAGCAAGGAGCAGAAGTATACGAGTGTGGAATATTGTCTTCCATTAACAATTTCGTCGTATGATGATCGTATTCATGAAATGAAACTTCGTTCATTATTTTAGGTCTTTTTCCTCTATTTTGATAGATAAATAACATACATGGAATTAAGAAATTCATCTAGTCAATCGACTGCATTTCGATTTAGGCGCCTGTTTAGATTCTTGATTTGATACTTTTCCTCGTCTGTATTTATCAATCATAATTCTGACGCTGTTGTTTTTCAACTTCAAGCAAGTACAAATTTTAGCTGGACGACATATGAAAACATTCTAATGAAGAATAGAAAACGAATAACTGAATATCATAAAAGCATACGACGACATTAAACTTTTTTAACAGAATTAACTAAAGAATATTTGTTGTAGAAACAAACAAGACGCCTTGTTCTTTTGTCAAATCAAGTTGTGCATATGAAAAACATTTCAATTGATTAGAATCCTTTGTATCAGCAATGTCTGTATTCTATATGCATACGTATAATCACATAATACATCTTCTTGCCATTTCTTTATTATTTAGACAACAAGAGATAATGGTAAGAAACATATTTCGTATGTATTCTGATTATTAGATTTCATGGAAGATATAGATGGTGGCTAAGAGACTTCTGTTGTTTAGAAGATAAACTTTTACTGAACTTATTTATTAAAAATTGCATACATGAATAAAACTCTTTATAAACATAAGAAAACACTTTGTTTTTTGATACATTATTAATCAACTATAAAAAAAAAAACTAAAAAATCTACACAACTACATTATCATTGCATTTCAAGTGCATCTACTTTAGCCGTTCTTTTTCTATATCCCTGACATGGCTTCCCTAATATTTTCACAATTGTTCTATTTTTCAATTTAAAATTATCAAACTTTTCTTCAATATCTTCAAGTAAAACTCCTCTCGTTTCTGGACAGAAAAGATATACAAATACAACACCTAAGAAACAAAGACCACTGAAAAGATAAAATACTCCATGTATACCTATTGGAGTTATTAACTCTAATATATAAGACATGATGGTACCCATAAACCAGTTACTTCCTGTCGTTATTGAAACAGCTCGAGCTCTAACATTAAGAGGAAAAATCTCAGCTGCATAAATCCAACCAATGGGTCCCCAAGAAAGTGCAAAAAAACATACAAAAATAGCTGTAAAAATAAGCATTAGTATACCAGAACTTGTTGTACACGATACAATTTCTTCACTGATTGTAGTTCCATTGATAGTAGTTTTGACTACATGACAACCTACCGCAAATACTGTTGCCGCTACAAGATGGCCAATCACCATACCTAAACCACAAAATATGAGTAGATTTCGACGACCTAATACATCAAATAAGAATAAGGCTGGTATTGTACTAAATAAATTTGCGCCAGATAAAACCATTAATGATATAATACCTTTTCCAAGAACACTTTCATAAATAATACCACCAAATGTAAATATTGGATTAATACCTGTAGCTTGTTGTAAAATATGTAAGCCTACACCAATACCCAATCTTTCAAGCATTTTCCTTTTTGTGAATAATTCTTTAGCTGAAACTTGATTACCTTCTTGTTGAATAGCATCAGCAATAGCATCTAATTCAGCAGTCACATTATCTATCTTACGAATGCGTTTTAAACTTTTCTCTGCTGATTCTCGACCTTCTTTTTTGAACAACCATCGAGGAGTTTCAGGACAAAAAAATATACCAATCATAATTATAATTGGAGCAATTAAAATAATTCCATTTGATAAGCGCCAACCCAATCTATGATCTTGTAAGAAAAAATTGACCACATTAGCAACAAATAAACCCATTACTACAGTCATTTGCATAAATCCAGAAAGCATTCCACGTATATTTGTTGGAGCTATTTCTGAAGCATATATTGGACAAGAAAATGAAGAACATCCAACACCTGTTCCTTCGATAATTCGTCCAATAAGTATCAAAATCATGATACTTTTCGAACCTCCTGGCGGAAAAATCACCATTGAAGTACCAATGAAAAACAGAATGGCTGATGTAAAAATAATCGCTCGACGTCCATATTTTTCTGCCACAAATGAAGATATGAATACAGCACCAACAAAACATCCGATATTATACAAAAATGTAAAAAGTACTAAAAATCGTCTATATTCATAAGGTAAAGCAGCTATTGGACGATCACATACACTTGCATTAGCGTATACATTAACACAAAAATCATTTTTAAATGAACTCATGACAACTATGCCTCCCGTAACACCTTGATCATAGCCAAAAAACCATCCACCCAATGAAGAAAATATTGCTAATAAAACAGCAAAATACGTTTTTCCATAATGAACACCTTTATGCTGCTGCTGCTGCTGTTGCTGTTGCTGTTGCTGGTGATGATAAATTTCACCTTCGAGCCCAATCGGAATTGTGTTTACAGATTGACGATCAACTTCGCATATCAATTCTTTCGACATTGTCTTTTTTGTTCACCTCAATTAAAAAATAAAATCGTTCTTCTCAATGACTGTAGTATTCTTAGTTTAGCAATTAAGAATGTTTGTATCCGTGTACTCTCACATATTTTCTCCAGGTAACTACAAAACATAAACATATGTTTGTTCAATTATGAGTGATGATCACATTTTTCGTCATGATAGTCACCATATTCTTGCTCAGATTTATCATTACTACAAATAAACATACTTTCCATTTTCCTCCACTTTTATCTAATTCTTTAATGGATAATCGATGACTGAATTGAATAAAAACAAGTAATTAGTCTTGATAAACAGACATGCAGACCTTAAAAAGGGGATTGTGTATTACAAGAGTGTAAGGTACTCTAAACAAGCAAGTACACTTGTAAATGATTAACTCTTCATTTTATGCGCTTCTTACAAAAAATGTCTCTTAACGATTTGCAGTATGTTAACTGGGATTTTTTCGTATTTATAAAGCGAACTATCTGATGTTTCTTTTTCAAAGATTCTGATACGATGATCTGATGATTAGTGAAATTTACTTAGGTATTCTAAGGATAAAACTACATTGAATGAGTAGCTGCTCGACAATGGGCTTAACAAAATGTTTTCAGCTTGATAAGGAATATGACTGGTAGATTGGTTCAATCTTTCCCGTTTATCTCTCTACTGCTCTTGCTCCTCTCGCAAATTTGCTTTGAGTACATCAAAATGATAAAATGCAATCATCAACAATTGAGTTTGATAGCCGCAGATGTTTATTCACAAGGTTCTGACCTTTCAATGAGTGAACAACGTGAATACGGATGAAATGACTCTTTCGAAAAAGAAAACGTGTTTGGAGATAAAAGCTGATGAAAGAGATCTCTTGTTCACATCTTGTTTCGTTGAATGTCTATCTTAAGTTCGAGTCAAACATACCTTATTCGATGATGTGACTGAAGTAGCTCACCTTTTCTTGCTCCCTTTTTGTTATTAACAACAGAAATGTTTTCTTTATCTAGACCTTCATTGTACGAACTCATTCAATTATTACCGATAAGAAGTTGACTTTCTCAAAAGGTAAAGGTTGTGATATTGCCTATTCATTGTTTTTTTATTATCGAACTGATGCCATTTTAACAACAAGAATTTGATTATTAAACTATGTTGAATTATTTTCATGAAATAATCCATGACGAATTAGACATCATTAAAAAGGAAGAGTTTTTAAATAAAAACAAAAATCATTGAATTAATTTTTCGAAATAGAGAACTTGTATGTATCACGTATGGAAATAATTTCTTTCTTTTTTCTTCCATCTGTATTATACTACAGGTATATATGCTCTTCGCCGAAACATACTTCGTCGAAAGTACTTTTTGGCCATGGAGGGCGCGCCAAAGGTAAGGGTGAGGGCAAAATGAGTTGACCTCTTCATGCTGAACAAGCCTATATAAGAATTAAAGGACTTGCAACAGTCTAAATTGTCCTACGACTCTTTCGACGAAATGCTTTTCGGCGAAGAGGATTACAATCGAATAATACAGACTCAAAAGAACTTTAAAAAATTTTGTGCAATATTTCATTATTAATGAATCCAAAGAAGTTCATAGTAGTATTCGAAGATATATTGCATATGATTAGCTAGTTTTTATAAAATCAACTAATACACCATTATGATCGGTTGCATCTTCAGTTGAAAAAATTCGACATTCATTCATTTCCCATCCATTCTTTAGTTCTCCTCGTCTCCAAATATAATCAATTCGTGTCTTATATATACATGTCATAACTTGATGATCAATATATTCTTTATTCATTTCTCGCCAACAATCATAATATCCATTTGTTTTCATTTTATTTGTTACTAAATTGAATGGATTTTCCCATGAATTTCGTTGACGTACATCATGAATATTAACATTAAAATAATCATTGGAATAATCATCAAATGTCAATGAATTAAAATCACCTACAATTAATTGAAGACCTGAGTCATATATATGTTTTTCAAATTGTTCCATTTGTTTTAAACGTACTTGTTCACTAAGTTGATCTAAATGAGTTACATACAATCTAGCATCATTATCATTAAAGAACTCATGATTGACTTGTACTACTAACATTCCACGTATATCGTGATTTTCGATTGCTTCTGTAAGATAATTGATGCTAGTTTTTAATGGAAATCGTGAAAGAATTGCATTACCAAATCTATGTGAAGTATTACAAAATGCAATGTAAGGTAACTGAAGTAGATCGGAGAGTAATTGAAACTGGTAATACTTTTCAGCAACAGTACCTGGTGGCTGATCAGTATGAAGCACTTCTTGAAGACCAATTACATCAAATGACATTGGCTTGATAAGTTGAGCAAGACGATAAACATTAGATTGTCCTTTTAAGTCAGTAAAGAAATGAATATTGAGTGTGCCTAGACGAAATTGTGATATTTTTCTAATGATATTCATGATGCTTCGATTTATCTAGAATATTAGTTATTCTTTTGGACATATGTATCTAGATAACTGATTGATTCATAACATAAACAAAGAATATATGAATGAAACGAATAAAATTTATCAAAATATACAGAAAGCAATCAGACTATTTCCGTAGAACTGTGTTTTGTAAAATTCACCTTATGTTTTTTCGAAAAAAAATATAATGAGTATAAGTTTTAAGTCGAAGTTCTGCAGCCCCTTACCCTTCCCAATAGCAACGTGGATGAAGGAAGAGAATTCCTTAGCAATGAAATAAAAAACTCTGAACGACATTAACCATCAGACTTAAACTGTTCTAGAACTTTTTAAAGATTTCCTCGAAACTAGAATGGCTGGAATACATTTGTAAATGTTCTAAATAGTGCAGTTTTACATTTTAACGCAGATAAAAATTTATGTTCAACATGTCAACGATGACAGATAGTCATAATAGTGTCTTGAGACCTGCTGTAGATATCATGGTATATGTATAAGAGACTTATTTCTCAATTAAACCAATGGTTAGAATAATAATAATGTTAAATTAACAAAAACGAAATACGAAAATGAAAACCAACAAGTGCATAGCACCAAGGCAAATAAAAATTTTCTATTCAAAACATCAAAATAAATAAGCCAGATCGTTTACCTGGCGATCAATTATTCTCAGAAAACACCTATAGTCTGCTAGAGATTTTTTACTTTGTGAATTCCACATTTTAGAATTAAAGGAACTGCGCTACCAAGGTTTCTCATATTGTAGATTAAAAAAATACCTGAGTCATGCATGTATTTGAAGGTTTGTTATGGAATTCGATGAGAAAGTAGCCATTGAAATTTTTAATTCATCAATTCTTTTTTATTCATAACAAACTTCATTCCCTTTCTTTTAGATATTCGGTTTATTTCTATCAATACTTGAGTAGAACATGTTAAGAACATCAATAAGTCTAGAAGAAGATAATATGCTGTATGTAAGCCGTAGAGATGGCGCTGTTACACGACATAAATAGTCGAACAAGAGTTATTATTCAGTTCAAAATATCATTGATGCTAAAATTTTTTAATCATCTATTATATAGAGATTCCTTTGTTTTGAACAGCCCACATGCTTTTGATAGACACAAATGAGAAAAAAAGTTTTTCTATGTTTCTATATATTTTATTAAAAAATCTTAATTGTTTTTCATACCATGTTTCTTATACGTATCTTGAAGATACGTTCTACAGATAATCTATTTTTCAATGCTAAAGTTTTTTTAGAGATAATTTGAATAATAGAAAATCTAAATTATTAGATCTCAATATAGTAATATTAACAGGTACTAATACAAAAATGACAAATGATTCAATATAACTAATATGAATGCTAAAAGAATAAAACAAACTTTTTCTTTTGTATAGTTTTTATTTTCTATTGTCATTCGAATTTCAGATCATAGATAAAGACTACTGAACAACAAACAAACTGTGATCTTTCCTGTTAAGAATAGTAATTTTGAGATTTTCAGAATCGAATCAATAGTATCTAAATATGGATCCAAGTCATGCAAATGACATGTTATAATTATAAAACACAATACATTCACAGAAGCATTTTTACGTCAAAAAAAAAACATCATAATTCAGCTGTAGAATGGCATTTATAAATAGCTAGGTCATTCAGTCTATATTTTGTTTCTATTAGCTTTGCTAATATTTCGTCGATGAAATTAAAAAGAGATCGTTATTCATGTAACAAATAAGACTGATTTTGGTAATTATAATATTTCTTTTTCTCATGAAAATAGATATTTTATCTATATTGGATTCATATCAAATTTCCTATGTCATTGAACTCTCTTGATTCTTGGAAGATACTTCGTTTTCATTCAAATGAATATAATTCGACATGTACAATTCTTCAAATTCTAAGATAGGAAAAAAGAGAATCATTCATGTTTAAATTATTCGTAAAATTGTAAAAGAATCATATAATGGTCATTTTTTTAAAACCTAATTTGCATAAAAGTTCATTCATCCATCTAAATAACTAATTAGCTTAATCAAAAATATTTTAATGTCTGTATATAGAAAACTTACTAGTCGACACATTAGAAGACCTCAGATCTTCTATTGTGTTCCTTAAAAAAGTCATATTTTTTGCTATCCTGAACGATATAATTTTTATAAAAATCTTTCTATGTTGGTTATGTTGTTACTTAACAGTAGATAAGAATTTAAGCTTAGATCATTATCCATAACAGATGTTCTATATTTATTCAATTATGAAAGTGTTAGTGAAAAGAGATAAATGTAAATGAAAAATAACTGAACTTGATCATAACACGCATTGTTTTTTTACATGTCGTATACAAACGTCTGTTAATTACATTTTATATTATTCGAATACAGATTGTCTCGATCGTCAGAAAGAGTAGGAAAATATTTTCGAAACGAAGTTTTATGTCGTTTATTCAAGGAAAGTCCTCTATTATGAGGGAGGAAGATCTTCCAATGTGTCGATGGCTTTATTTCATGAGTTATGACCATTTGATTTGATTTTCGATCTTTGAAAAAGTACATGTAAGAAAATCAAATTATAGAATTTTTATCTGAAATATTGCACATAGATAGTCATTATGATCATGAGAATGTTGTCAAACTTTCAGTTCAAAGGAATATTTCCTTCCTAGGATATTGAATTTTGAAGACATTGAACTATCTACTTCTGCTATTGACACATGTTGAATGTTAAATATCTTAAGAAGGAAACATTTTTTAGATCAAAAGTTTGAGAACATTTCGATGAGGATGAGAATTATCGATGGGCCAAGTTTCAGGTGAAAATTTTGTAATTCGATTTGTGTCATATTTGCTTTTCTAGAAGACGAACCCTTCTAGTCTCATCGTAGTCATATTGATATGATGTAGATAAACTAAATATTCTTTCCAGAGTAATATACAGAGCATATATAAATACTATTAAAATGAAAATTAAAATGCGTCTGAGATGTTAAAAGACATTAGTGCTTATGTTAAAAAAAGAATCAATACAAAATCATTCTTGTATTTTTTTTTTGTTTTATGTTATTAGTCAATGACGGAATGTAATGTAGTGATGCATATAGAACTCATTTCGATCGTATATTGCTGATGAATTCAATAATGAGTTAAATTTATGATGTTCAATATTGTTTTCACACATATTTTGCTTTCTAGATATTGAAGCGAAAAATATTAGATTGATTGTAGATTGAATGCAGTATGCAAATGATTATGATGTTTTTTATCAATTTTTTTTTCTCAGCTAATGATTAATTCAATGATGTATCGATGGAAAAAAACGGCAGCTAATATGAATATCCAAATATACTTCAATTATTATCGTCATTATCAAAAAATTCTTTTAATATAAAATAATCTTTCATAAAAATATAGCAATAACATATCTTTTACCTATTGGAGACGAGGTTATCGTAGGAGAAAATGAAAATTTTCAAATACTAAAACTGGTAGCGACACATCAGATAGGACGTGACATATTCATGACCTGCACCCGCATGTAGGTCATAACAGTAGCATAGGCGACATATGCAAATCATCTACGAGCCAATTCAGAAGCGTTACCTATATATAGGCTTTCTGTCTCCAAAGGCTTAAACTTTCATGGAAGATCATAAAACAGTTTATTCAGTATATTGCAATATTTAATACATAGTGATACATCTAAATGGATTTAATTTTGTGTTGTACTGAAAACAAGTTACTTTTGTATTTTTCAAAAAGTGTAATATTAATCTTACATTCACTGAGGATTATTCAAAACGAACTAATTTGTTCTGTTTTGAAATTCAATAACGGACATTTTAAATAAAGATAATAGCTCAATAATACGAAATGTATAATTTTTCAAACTTTAATCTGATTAACTCAGACTGAATCGGACCATTCGATCTCAAATATGCACCAGTACTACATAGTTACATCTCTGTAATCGGTTAAAGGATACATACTTTGAAGGTGAAAGGCAATTACCACCTTCGTTCATTTCTAATATAGATGGATTGACTTAAGTTCGACAATTATTTTTTATATACCCAACGAATAAGATTGTAGGAAAATATCTCTATAGAAGATCCAACTAAACTCCTTATTCCAAACCATTTTGTTGTTTTGCAAGTCTGTTTTTTTTTCATAAATTCGTTCCTATCAACGACAATAATATTATTATTGCAATCCATATTTATTTGATTAACATATTATTTTTTGTATATTGTAATATTGAATAATTATTTTGAACACAACAAAAAATAAAAATAAAAATAAGCTATCTGTCATTTTTAGCAAGTGCATTATGTGTCAAATCATATTCATATTACACTTACAAGAGACAAGAAAACAAAATTTTTTAAGTTAAATATTTTTGACAATAACAAATAGACACACACACACACACACAAAAGTTAAATTCATAATAGAGATTAATATACGTTTGTAAAGCTGTACAGAAAGAGTGAGTGTATGGAGAATACGAATAATATTATCAGAGAAAAAAAAAGAAAATGTCATGAGACTCGTAATACTTCACAGTATTCAAATTATTTTTCACTGTCAAAGGCAGACTAAGACGAAACAAAGGTAATGAAAACAACAACATTTAACTATGATAACGAATTTAACAGGCACATGGTGCTTCTTCTGTAGTTGTTGGTGCCGGCGGTGGTTGCCGTACAGGAAATATTGATTTATCTATATATAAAGAAAAGAAAAAAATAATCATATATAAATAGGTATTCAAGAAACAACATAATCGAACTTAAATAGATCATACAGTTTAATAATTACGAACTATTTTATATTCTCCATAGTCTATATATTAATTTATTCTACTAATCGACAATCAATATATAAGAAGAATTCGAAAAATTGAATGAATTACATTTTATATTAGTTCGATCATCTATTCAAATCATAGATAGAATCTCTGCTGATCAATTTCAACATCT